CTTCATTTCTTCCTTTTCTAGTTGCTTTAGGTGTAGAGTTAGGTTAGTTATTTGACTTTTTTCTTGTTTCTTGAGGTAAGCCTGTATTGCTATGAACCTTCCCCTTAGCACTGCTTTTACAGTGTCCCATAGGTTTTGAGTTGTTGTGTTTTCATTTTTATTCATTTCTATGCATATTTTGATTTCTTTTTTGACTTCTTCTATGATTTGTTGGTTATTCAGAAGCATGTTATTTAGCCTCCATATGTTTGAATTTTTTAATAATTTTTTTCCTGTAATTGAGATCTAGTCTTACTGCACTGTGGTCAGAAAAGATGACTGGAATGACTTCAATCTTTTTGAATTTACCAAGGATAGATTTACGTCCCAGGGTGTGATCTATTCTGGAGAAGGTTCCATGTGCACTTGAGAAAAAGGTGAAGTTGATTGTTTTGGGGTGAAATGTCCTATGGATATCAATTAGGTAAGACCTGATTTTAAAGATAATGTCAAGATTTATCTGTATGATCTTATTTGGTCATTAATCATATGTTATAATATGGTTTAGGAGATTAGACTCCAGCTCCGTCATACCTTTGTTCTATGCTTTCCTTTTCTTATGGAATTTTATATATTATTAATAACGTTCAGCATAATACATATTAAATAGTAGGGGTATTGTTTTTAATTTTATTTTTTAAAGCCAAAAACTTTTTGCATTGGGGTATAGCCAATTAACAATCTGTGATAGCTTCAGGTAAACAGTGAAGGGACTCAGCCGTACATATATATGTACCCATTCTCCTCAGTGGAAATACTAAAGGCAGTCCTTATGCAGCAGATAAGACCCTGAAATGTGTATAGATATTCTTTTTCTCCTTGGTAGACCAATAAACTGAAACATAGTTTCCCATCTAATTACAATATGATTTCAGTTTATTCCCATTAAAATGTTTTTATTCTGAGGCATGCCCTCAAGCTTATGAATGGGGCAAAACCTTTAAAGTAAAAACAGAAAAGTTTATATTAAAGCTTCCTCACTATATACTAAGAAAATCAATTATTGTCATGACTCAATAATATATATTACCAAAACCTTGTGTTACCAAGGCTATATTTAACAAAAGTTACTTCATATTACTAAAGAAACTTCAAGTGTACTTCTTGAACAACTTTTCTCTGTGGGGTTCCCTGAAGATTTTTTTATACCCTTGTTTATTTCTCACCATCTTTAGTAAAGATTGTTCTGTTTTGTAGAGTTATAATTTATATTCACTTTCACTTACAGTCATGGTGTGCTTTCTCAATAAATTAGCACTTCCTTACTTCATTCCTCCCTCAAACATGTTACTATTTTTCAATCTTTTAGAAGAGAAATTGTGTGAAGCAAAGTTTTGATGATAAAGGGAAAGCAGTATCCAGTTACAACATCAAAAAGAAAATACAATACCCAAGGAAGAAAATTTACTTTGGTACCAATATTATAGTATGAAGCAATGATTCCCCTGTATGTATGTGTGCTTAGTTGATCAATCATGTCCAACTCTTTGTGACCCCATGGACTGTAGCCTGCCAGGCTCCTCTGTCCATGGGATTCTCCAGGCAAGTATACTGGAGTGGGTTGCCATTTCCTACTCCAGGAGATCTTCCTGACCCAGGTACTGAACCTTCATCTCCTGTGTCTCCTGCATTGGCAGGGAGATTCTTTACCTCTATACCACCTAGGAAGCTCATCCTCTTGTATGAGAACTTTATTATAGTTAAGATAATGTTGTAAGGTGAAGGTGGTTACCATTCTTCTTTATGTAGAGGGTATAATTTCACATGAAAAATTAAGATTACTTATTTCCACAGTTCTGCCAGTCACCTGGGATGAGTTTTTAAAGAGGAACCCAGGATTGTTATTTTTATTTTAACCTTGGCAATAAAGGGGATCAAGGTGCTTAAAATACCAAATTCTGTGCTAGAAGTTGAATACATTTTTTTGTGGTTGCAGTATCTGGCTAGCAAGTGGGGATCTAGGCAAGTTACTTAGATATTTAACCAGCCCTTTTAAGTTGATTACTGTAACATTGTAGTTATGGCAATTCTGAGACAGGGTAGGAAACGGTGCAGGACCTGCCAGCCTTGAGAAAGATGTAGAGTCAGAAGCCTATGCTTTGAAAGCTGAACTTCTGAATTTGTGCATTTTCTTTTTATTCTTAATATTTGTGAAGCCAGGGAAATTAGGCAGGAAAAAAAGAAATAAAGACAACCAAGTTGGAAAGAAAGAGGTAAAATAATCTCTATTTGCAGATGACATGATTTTATAAATAGAGGAAACTATGAGGAAGCCACAAAATACCTGGTAATTCTAATGTACAAGTTTAGCAAAATTGCAGATAAGAGATCAATATTAAAAACTCAGTTGTATTTCTATACACTAGCAGTAAACAATACTAAATTGAAATCAAGAAAACAATACATTATAGCTTCAAAAATGATAAAACACTTAGGAATAAATTTGATCAAGGAAGTGCAAAATGTGTACATGAAGAACTATAAAATACTGTGGAAAGAAATTGCTCTGAGTGTATAGTTTCACATTTGCAAGATGAAATACTTCTGGGGAACTATTTCATAGCACTATAAATAAACTTAGGACCATTGAACTTTAGACTTAAAAAACGAATAAGATGACAAATTTTACATTTGTTTTTTACCTCAGTAAAAATACTGCATTATTTAAAAAAGAGACACCTTAAATAAATGGAAAGACATCCATGTTCATGGATTGGAAGAAAATTCTGTTAATATGGCAATGTTCCTCAAATTTATTTTCATACTATTACGATCCCTATCGAATTCCAATTGCCTTTTATTTTGTATAAATGTACATGATGATTCTAAAACTCATAAAATTTGTAAGCGACAGGGAACAAAGTCGAAGAACATATACTTTCTAATGCCAAAACTTAATATAATGCTATAGTAGTCAAACGTGTGGTACTGACATGATGAAAGACATATAGATCAATGGTATTAAATTGAGAGTCCAAAAATAAACCCGTGCATCTATGGTCTATTGATTTTTGAACAGTGCCAGGATCATCCAAAGGGGAAATAGTCTTTTCAAGAAATAGTGCTTGCAAATGAATGAATTTGTGATCCTACTTCACACCATACACAGAATTTAACACAAGATGTATCAAAAGCCTAAATACAAAAGATAAAATTATAAAACTCTTTATATAAGTATATGTCTTTGTGACCTGGAGTTTGGCAACTCTAGATTCTTAGATATGTCACCAATAACAAAATCAGCAAAAGGAAAAATAGATAAATTAGATTTAATAATAATACTAATAAAACTTTCTGTGCGTCAAAGGATTTTATCAAGAAAGTTAAAAAGACAACCCATAGAATGGGGAAAATATTTTGCAAATCATTACATCTGATAAGGGATTTCTATCTAAAATATATACATGTCTTACAACTTAGTACTAAAAAGACAACCCAAGTAAAAAATGGGTTAAGCGTTTGTTAGACATTTTTCCAAAGAACTTATCCAAATTGCCAATAAGCACATGAGAAGATGCTCAACATCATTAGGGAAATGCAAATAAAAATTAACATAATTTTGATCACTCTGAAATCACCTCATTAAGATTTCTATAATCAAAAAGACAGACAATAACAAGCGTTGGCAAGGATGTGGAGAAATTAGAACACTCATACATTGCTGGTGAGAATAAAAGTGCTGAAGCCACTTTGGAAAACTGTCTGGAAGTTACTCAAAAAGTTAAACATAGACTTACTACATAGTTCAGTGGTTCTACTCCTAGCTATATAACCAGGAGAAAGGAAAACATACATGTACACAAAAACTTGTACATGAATGTTCATAGAATTATTTATAATTGATAAAATAGAAACCACTCAAATATTCTTCAACAATGTAGTGTATCAATGCAATATAATATTATCCATCCATAAAATAAATGTAGTAATGATACATGCTACAACATGGATGAATCTGAAAAATTATTCTAAGCAAAAGAAGCCAGACACAAAAGGCCATGTATTGCATGATTCCATTCCTATGAAGTGTCCAGAATAGCCAAACACATAGGTACAGAAAGCAAATTAGTTGCCAGGGCCCAGTGGTGGGACTGGTTGAGGGGAATGGACAGAGACCTCTAACTGGTACTTTCTTATTTTGGTGGTGAAAATATCATGGAATTAGATAGTGGATAGTGATAGTGGTTGCACAACATTGTGAATATACTAAAACCATAGAATCGTACATTTTCAAATGGCTGAAATGGCTGAAAAGCATGAAATTTTATGCTTATTTTATCTCAGTGCAAATTTTTAAAAATATTTTCATGAACATCACAATAGAAAAAAAAAAGCATTAAAATATTTCACTACTGCAATTTTGGAGATATAACAAACTACAATCATCGTTGAAGATAATTTTTATTAAGATAAATCCAATAAAATATTGTAAATACACATATTATCAGAACTTCCCTTCTGAAATAAACATTTATATTTCTTTTAAAAATGGAATTTCAATTGCATTTTTCCCAAGTAATATCAAAGTTGTATTTGGGAAAGATAATTCTAACTCTTACCATTACATGAAAATAGTTCACTTTCTTTATAAAAACAACCTGGAGAACCACAAGAATTTTTGAGGAAATTCTTTTGGGATCTCTCCATTTTGTGAAATTATCACATATAGGAGTAAAATTAAAATTCAAAGATTTAACATATAAATTACAGAAAAGGGTATTCACTGATGAAGTTGAAAGCATACTTTTTGTATATATTCCACCTTTATAATCACAAAGCTTATCGATAATAATTCAGTGCTGGGAACTTTGTGATTAATGAACAGTATGAAGATGTTTTGAAACTAAATTGATGTTAAAGAAAAGCTGTGTCTATAAAATATTTGATAAAAATATTCATCTCTATTAACATTACAACATAGAGGTACATATTACCAAACTATGAAACCATATAGGGCAGCTTTAAGCAATACTCTGAGACTCTTCTTTTTTTCCATCTTCTTTTTTGACCTCTTCTCTTTTGGTTATTTCTTTTCCAATTTCAGCCTTGCTTTCATCTTTTCCATCTCCTCCATCTTCTTTTCCATTTTCTTTCTCTTTTCCCTCTTTATTTTTTTCATCTTCCTTCTCATTTCCACCATCATCCCTTTTTCTATCTTCATCCTTTTTTCCATCTTCTCCTTTTTTCCCATCTTTTTTATCTTTTCCATCTTCAGATTCTTTGCCATCTTCTTTCCCCTTCCCATCTTCATTCTCTTTTTTATCTCTTTTTTCTTTTTCATCTTCTTCCACTTTGCCATCTTCTCCTTTCCCTTTTCTATCTTTTCCCTCTTTTCCCTCTCCAGTTTCTTTATCTTCTTCCTCTTTCCCATCTTCTTCTTTCTCTTTTCTCCCCTCATCTTTTTTTTCATCTTCTTTCCCTTTTTCATCTTTGTCCTCCTCTATATCTTTTCCTTTCACTTCTTCCTTATTTTGATCTCCATCTCCTTTTTCATCTTCTTTTCCATCTTTTGCCACTACCTCTTTCTTTTCTTCTCCTTCTTCTTTGATATCTTCAATTTTTTCTTCTTTTATTTCCTCTATTTCTCTTTCAGGAACTGGTGCCTATAATGAATATAGAAGAAAAACCAAGATTTGTAAATTTGGAATCAAGACAGAATTATAGCTATCTTATTAAATAAAGTACTTTCCCTGTGGAAAAGGCCTCCTAAACAACATGTCAAAAGGAAGCATATGAAATAGGATTAATGAAAGTATCTCTACATAATCATGCACAAATAGACATTTGGAACAATAAATTTGGAAAAACCTATTCATATAAATAATTTTTATTACAAATATGAGGAAACAGTAAATACAGAAAAATGACATATTCTCTATCAATAATTCTCAATGAGTAGTATATACATATACAAAATATATTTCTTGAAGAAATAATACATTTTATTTCTATATTGGTGATATTTAGGTTTACTTTGTAAAAAGTTAGTTGAAAAGTCTTTTACCAGACATCATAGGATCAGTTACAAAAGATTTTCCCTATATGCACAGGTTTGATTTATAGATTTGGCACTAAATTCCATTTTCATTGTTTTAACTATAATACTGAGAAATGTGGTAATATAAATATGCAAAGCAAGACCTATTGGAAACATAAACATACTGATTTGCTTTGCAATCTGAAGAGGGAAAAAGACTCATATGATCTCGAAAAGGGATTTACAAATAGCCCACGTACTGACAAAGGGAATAGAAGATCAGTCTATATTTAAGAAGACAGTCATTAGATTATTAAGCCATGATCATTGGCATTGTTCTATTGATATAAGTGCTAACCCATTGCTCCCATACCCATTCCTGAAAATTCTCAAATTTTAAATTCATTTTCTTTCTTTTCCTCTTATTTACCACTATACTATATGATGTACACAGAATGTATGTGTCCCTCAAAATTCATATGATGAAACCTAATTTCCAAAGTGATGGTATTTGGAAGTGAGGCCAATGGGAGGTGATTAGGTCATGAGGGTAGAGCCCTCATGAAAGGGATTTATGTCCTTATAAAAGAGGCCCCAGAGAGCTCTCTCACCCTTTTTATGGTGTCAGGACACAACAAGAAGACTGCCATCCATAAACCAGGAAGCAGGTCTTCTGTTCAGTTCAGGTCAGTTCAGTTGCTCAGTCGTGTCTGACTCTTTGCGACCCCATGAACTGCAGCATGCCAGGCCTCCCTGTCCATCACCAACTCCCGGAGTCTACCCAAAATCATGTCCATTGAGTCAGTGATACCATCCAACCATCTCATCCTCTGTTGTCCCCTTCTCCTCCTGCCCTCAATCTTTCCCAGCATCAGGGTCTTTTCAAACGAGTCAGCTCTTCGCCTCAGGTAGCCAAAGTACTGGAGTTTCAGCTTCAACATCAGTCCTTCCAATGAACACCCAGGACTGATCTGCTTTAGGATGGACTGATTGGATCTCTTTTTGGTCCAAGGAGTCTTCTCCAACACCACAGTGCAAAAGCATCAATTCTTTGGCACTCAGCTTTCTTTATAGTCCAACTCTCACATCCATACATGACTACTGGAAAAACCATAGCCTTGACTAGATGGACCTTTGTTGACAAAGTAATGTCTCTGCTTTTTAATATGCTGTCTAGGTTGGTCATAACTTTCCTTCCAAGGAGTAAACATCTTTTAATTTCAGGGCTGCAATCACCATCTGCACTGATTTTGGAGCCCAAAAAAATAAAGTCAGCGACTGTTTCCACTGTTTCCCCATCTATTTCCCATGAAGTGATGGGACCAGATGCCATGGTCTTAGTTTTCTGAATGTTGAGTTTTAAGCCAACTTTTGCACTCTCCTCTTTCACTTTCATCAAGAGGCTCTTTAGTTCTTCTTCACTTTCTGCCATAAAGGTGGTGTCATCTGCATATCTGAGGTTATTGAGATTTCTCCCGGCAATCTTGATTCCAGCTTGTGCTTCCTCCAGCCCAGTGTTTCTCATGATGTACTCTACATATACGTTAAATAAGCAGGGTGACAATATACAGCCTTGATGTACTCCTTTTCCTATTTGGAACCAGTCTGTTGTTCCATGTCCAGTTCTAACTGTTGCTTCCTGACCTGCATACAGGCTTCTCAAGAGGCAGGTCAGGTGGTCTGGTATTCATATATCTTTCAGAATTTTCCAGTTTATTGTGATCCACAGAGTCAAAGGCTTTGACATAGTCAATAAAGCAGAAATAGATGTTTTTCTGGAACTCTCTTGCTTTTTCGTTGATCCAGTGGATGTTGGCAATTTGATCTCTGGTTTCTCTGCCTTTTCTAAAACCAGCTTGAACATCTGGAAGTTCACGGTTCACGTATTGCTGAAGCCTGGCTTGGAGAATTTTGAGCTTGGAGAGCCTGGCTTGGAGAATTTTACTAGAGTGTGAGATGAGTGCAATTGTGCCGGTCCTCAGCAGATGCCAAAAATGTTGGTGCTTTGATCTTGGACTTCCCAGCCTTCACAGTTGTGAGAAATAAATTTCTGCTGTTTATAAGCCACCCAATCTGTGGTATTTTGTTACAGCAACCTGAACAGACTAAGACACTATGGAGTCATACTCATTTAATATTTCTCAACTTTTAAACTACAAGGCAAACAAGATTTCTTTCAGTTGAATCCATTGTTAAACTTTCAAATGGACAAATGGAATATACCTCTATAATTTTTGCTGCTCCATTTTCAGCAGTTTCATTGTTGTATTCTTTAACAACTTCTTTCTTCGTTTCAGCTATGGTTTTGGCAACTGCATCTGTGTTTTTTCCCATCATATCATTTTTGGTCTTCATTTTCTGTCCAGAAACACAAAACAATAAAAAATAAATACAGAATTTAATTGGTATGTTGATTAAATGGCACAATTATTTTACCAGCTGTTGTAATAGTTTATGGAAAAGCTTTAAAATACTTTCAGTGTCATTATAAACTTGAAATGGCATTAAAATGAGTACTATTACTCTGATATAAATCAAAGTTTCTCTCAGATGAGAAGCAACAAGTTAGAATGCTGACCAGTAGCTACTCAGAGCCAATTGCCAGCATCAGGTTAAAATTTGATAAATTAATTATCTTGATTAGAGGGGACCAGTTTATCCCTGTCATGTCTAATAATTAGCAATAGGGTTTTTGATTGCAGAGCCTCCATTGTTAATAATTAAGAAAAATACTTAGTTAGGGAGAGCACCTATTTAAATACATTTGAAAGAGATCACTTGGGGATATTAGTGATTCAATATATAGGGCTACACGTTTTAGAATGATTTGAATCATGATTTCTTTATAAGAAAGCTCTTTGCCCTAAGTGTGTATGTGGTAGAAAGGGCACTGGATTAAGGGGCCAGCGAACATGTGTTTTAAATCTGGATCTGTTTCTTGTTTGATGTGACCTTGAGCAAAAGCATAATTTTCTCTGTGTTTATTTTTTCAAATGTAAGAGAGAGTAATATCACCTACATACCAGGATGTTGTATGAAGCAAATGATAAAATATATGTGAAATTACTTTGGAAACTGTAAAATGCAATATAGATGTGTTATTATCCTTTTATCACATGAGAAACTGAGAGCCAAGGAGGGTGAAGTGTTTTTATATTATGTTTTATTCTAGCACTTTTTTAAAAAGAAGAAATAAACAGTGTTTACTATTTTAACAACTTATAAGTTGAGTATTTAATTTTATAAATAGTGACCTTGAAATGTGAAATAAAGAAAAACCAAATAGAAACTTTCTCTTCTGTTGTCATTTACTATGATTAATCAAACTATGGCCATAGTTTTAGCAAGGTCTTTTAATCAAGGATTTCAAAGCACTTTATGAATACAACTGTAATGTAGTTTCTTCAATCACAAAATTATGGGATTAGATGATTTCTAACGTTTCTGCTAGCCTTAATGTTTTCTGATGTTAAGAATTCAACCCAAAGCCAGTGCTCTATGACAACCTAGAGGGGTGAGATGGGGAGGGAGGAGGGGTTTAAGAGGGAGGGGACATATATCATATGTATACCTGTGGCTGATTCATGTTAATGTATGGCAGAAACCATCACAATATCATAATGTAATTGTCCTCCAATTAAAAATAAAATAAAATTAAAGAATTCCACCTATCCTTAAAACATCAACAATGCCTCAATAAAGAATTCTAAAATGATATAAAATCATGTTATATTCACAAACATTTACATGTAAATAAAAGTAAATATAGGGGGGAAAGTAAGCTTAATATTGAGGCTATTTCTATTTTTAATATTTTTCTAGCCACAACACCAGAACATAGAAGCCTATATGAAATCAATTGTGTGCATTTGGAAATAATGTATGTGGAAGCACTTTGCAAATTGTTCAGTATTATCAAAAGTTAGTTATTATTATTATCACAAAACATTACTTTGGTTACTATAGTTTACACCTTGTGTTTTCCCAGGAATGTTGGTATTGTAACTGTATGAAGTCAAGAGCATGTACATTTTATGGGCCTATCCAACTAAACTTTTGTTTTGTCTCTTCCTAGGGAAAATGTCAATACACAATAGACAACCACAGAACACAAACAAATATTTCCTACTCAAAGGGCTGACATGTACCATATGGTATGATGTATAATGCAATATGGGGCTTCCCTGGTGGTTTAGTGGTAAAGTATCTGCCTGACAGTGTTGGCGAGGCAGGTTTGATCCGTGGGTTGGGAAGATCCCCTGGAGAAGGAAATGGCAACCCACTCCAGTATTCTTGCCTGGGAAATTCCATGGATAGAGGAGCCTGGTGAGCTACAGCCCATGGGGTTGCAAAAGATTCAAACACGACCTAGCAACCAAATCACAACAACAACAAATAATGTAATATATGACTAACTGAAAAGAAAATAAAGCAAAATGATCAACTGTATGCCTTTCCAAAAAACTATTTCTGAAGAAAAGTAAGTTTCTCTCAATATTGCTTGCTGTATATTTACCCTTGGAGTTGATGTTCTTTTGGACTTCAACTCTGGTATAATGGGCACAGGCAACTGCAAAAAAAAAAAAAAAAGTGCAAATCATGGGGGAAGAAAGAGAAGACATCATAATTGAAGAAAGATCACTAACTGAAATTCAACTTTGTGATTAAAATAAATGGGTGTAGTTCAAACTGAAAACTAGGACAAAAATATTTCCTTGGTGAGAAAGTTTTTTCTTAAAACATCAAAAGTAAATCTTGTATTAAATGACTAACATTGTCCAGGATCCCCTGAAGTCTAAAATTACATTTTACAATACATGGGCAACTTTTAAATAAAGATTACTTACAGCAGACAGTCTGGCTGATCTTCTCTTTGGCTATAAGTTAAAAATAATTATCAGTTAAGAAAATTATGGATACACAAAACTAGAAATATTTATATTGCAGTGAAAGTATTTAGTGTAACACTATATATATGTTGTCATTAAGAAGTATTGTAAGTTTGATTAGAAAGTATCTTTGAACAAATAAAAACATAAGCTTTGATTTTTCCCTTCTCTGGACCCTTCATATGCTAAAGAAAAAAATTCCAAATTAAATTTCAATTGCTAGGCTAAATTAACACAATGGCTAGTAACAGTATATTTAGAAATGAAAATATAGCCCTTTCTTGCAAGTCGACAAAGCAATTCTTTCGTTCACACTCTCTCCAGATCTTAAACACAATACCATCCTACGTCCCAAGAAGTTTGGAGTTTTCAGTACCTACTATTTCTGAGAGAGAAAACTGGCATACCGTATTGGTACTCATATGGTACAAATACACTAACCAGCATTTAGGTTTTAGCTGCTCACGTGTCAAGTTTATAAAACAAGTGATTTTTTTTTCAGACAGACTCTAAAACTAAAGAAACTCACCTCTTGCTTCATATCACCTTGACCTGCAACCTATACAGGGGGGAAAACCACACAGAAATAAGGTCATCAATATAAATGTATAGATCTGAAAATATTGCCTATAGATTGCAGTCTGCAATATAACAGCTTATGACTTTTTCCTGGATTTCTGCTCAAGTACCACCCGTTATTGCCTAGTAGCATGCTGTCTACTAACGTGCAAATATACACCAAGATGCAAATGAATTCCCAAGACATGTTTATGCAACTGATAGTCATTTCATCCTTTTGTATAAACTGTATCTCCTAAAAACAAACTTTAATTTTAAAATCCACCTGTTGTAGCCCGTGTTAAAGCCAAAAAGGATGAGGGAGGGCGAGCAGAATGAAGGGCGGAGCTTCATGCAACTTCCCCGTCTGTTTAGACTCACGCTTGAGATGTAATGGTACTTATCTGACTCTCACTTATCCCCTCCAAGTTCTGCAGACAAGAACTACAATCCCCACAATGCTTTGCGGCGGCGGGGGGGGGGGTGGGTTACCTCTTTGTTAAAACGTCAGCGCGTTTTATTGAGAAGCCGGCTGCGGATTTTAAAACTTCCCGCCACTACCTGCTACAAGGTTGCTGTCAGCTCTGTAAAATCGCAAGATCCATTGCACAAGCCTAGAAAAGCGCAGCGGCGGGAATCACAGGAAGGGGGTTGGTGATTAGAAACCATTGCTTTCTGTCCTTTTAGACTGGGAGCTACTAAGCTATCGCACGAGTCATACAGCCTCAGAGCACCGTGGAATTTCAGTCTTATTCCTATTTCTAAAAATAGGGAAGACAAACGAATAGAGAGGAATAATACTTAAAAAAATCATAACGCCTTACATTAGCACAGTATTTTACAATTTTATCAAGCAACGAAACAGCGATCGATTTCACTTCTAAGGGACCCGCCTCCCCAACAAACAAACAAGCAAACAGATCAACACTGAGTGTGAATTTCTTTCTTGTCTAAGAGAGGAGTCATGATTTTTTAAGTGAGGGTTTGCAGGAGACCTGCAGCCCTTGAATAGCTCATATCAATTATTCGTGTCTAAAGTGAGCAAATCCACGCTACCCCAAGATAAGCAATAGTTTATCTGACGCATTTCCCTTATCATTCTTCCACATTTAGACAGTAAACTTGGAGAGTCTCAGACCTCTCGGGCCTAAAGTTGCTATTACAGCGGTGAATCTCTACCTTCTCCAGGACAGTTTGAAGTCTGCGCCGCCTAATGGCACAGGATTACCACTGCAAAGCCCTCTGGCTTGACATGAAGTGGAGGAAGGAAAAAAAAAAAAGAAAAAGAAAACGGGAAGAACAAAGGCAAATAAATACGGGAGAAAGCCATGGCCTTCGTACCCCAAAACGGGACGGTTCCCGGAGGAAAGCTGGAGGCTGAGGAGGAAATTAGTGCCTGAAAGTGTGGTTGGGAGAAGCGTTCTCCAATAGGGTAAGCGGAGGAACGGGGGTGGCGTAGGAAGCGACAGCACAGCGCTATGGCTGTTTGTAATTCAGCATGGAGACACCTCTCAAGCGATTCTTTCCCTTAAACAAAACACGCCAAAAGTGAACTACCAGTTGCGTGAAAGACCATCCTCAACCTTATACTAACCGATATTTGCCCTTCCCTCCCCTTAGGCACCTCGCAAAATCGAGCTAGAAGCCAAAATGCTTTTTAAAAAAGTCTCTGTCGATTAGGAAATATGTATTGCAGTCGCTAATACCCCTTCTATCTTCCTATTTCACTTACCTTTCTTTTGGGCATTGTTGCAGCTCTCTATAGGAGATCTTAGCAGTCAGCAGAAAAAAAGCCGAAAGCAGTCTATACACGACCGCTCAGAGAGCAACTGGGTTTTCAATGAACTAATTAAAGTACGACCTGTACTTGCCTTCAAAAAAAAAAAAAAAAAAAAAAAACTCTCGTTATTGGCAACATTAAACGCACCAAGACACAACCGAACTACGTGAATGGTTAGCAGGAATGGGAGCCAAATTGGAGTGACAGGCTGTCAGACCAATAAGGGGAGTGACCAGCCCAGGGGGCGTGGCCCACGGACTCCTGAAGCCCTCGAAGGCTGCCTGCTCCGACTGCTGGTGGGGTAGAGGAGCACCTTGACTTAGTGGACACAAAGGACTGAAGCATAAAACCGGCGGGAAAGCTGGGGTTGTCCTTATCGGTTCTCTTTCTTTTTTTCCTTTATGTAGTAATAACAGGAGAAAGTCACTGCACTTGCTTTCTCCACGGTCTCCAAAAGTTTCTTCCTGGAAGGAAAGTGCTTTTCAGATAGGACTGGGCCTAGGCTCCAATCTTTCCATTCTACCTTTGGCAGGAGGATGTAGATAACATGAGACAAGTACTCGTTTAGAAAGTAGAAAAGAGTGGAGCTGTTTCTCAGGTTGTGGGGACTTTGCGCCACACCAGAATTGTGGTCCTGACAGGATCAGGGTGCCAAAACGGGGCATCTTTCGCAGACGGAGAGCCTCAAAACTTGGAACTGTAAGAGCAAGAGGAACCTGAAGGTGGGGACATCTGATAGATGCCATTATCCCACTTGGTGGGAGTTCACCAAGAATTTAATGGGACTCTGTGTGAGGTAATAACACAGGACTATCTAGAGGAAAAAGGCTGATGCAATGGATTATGAATCCAAAGGTGGCATTTGGTGAAGGAACTCGGGAAGATACCATACATGAAAGTATTTAGGGCACAGAGCCTGGACTAGGATAAAGCAATTAAAGCACTCACTTCTGGTGCAAATTTAAGGATGCACCCCAGACTCAGGAGATTAGGATGAGGCCATTGAGGTGAATTATGCAAGTGTAGAGTGCATGTGTTCTAAGTCGTTTCAGTCATGTCTGACTCTTTCCAACCCTGTGGACTGTAGCCCGCCAGGCTTCTCTGTCCATGGGATTCTCCAGGCAAGAATACTGGAGTGGATTCCCATGGCCTTCTCCAAGGGATCTTCCTGACCCAGGGATGTAACCTGCATTGGGAGGCGAGTTCTTTACCACTAGTGCCACTTGGGAAGGCCCGCAAGTGTAAGGTAGGATCTTGTTTTTATTTAAAATTGATATTTTGTTTATCAATGAACTTTAAAAACAATCTTTAATTAGCTCTTTAAAGTAGTGCATTAAACATTTATCTTTATTATTGAGTTTTGGGGTGCCCCTTATCATTTGTGTCTGAGTGCCCCCTAACCTCACCCTAGTCTTAGTTATCTTTAGGTGGCTTTCTACTTTAGAAGAGGCCTTTATTTGCTTTCCAAAGGTAGTTCATGAGCCCTAAAATTTGCTAGAATGGGGGTGTGGATTGGTGAATAAGGTACTTGAAGATAATAATGGGCAAAAATGTAGGATTTTGAACCACTTTCTCAGAATGCCTTGGTTTGGTTTTTAGTAACAGCTAATTGGGTTTAACCATGTTCCAACAACAGCTGAAATCCCTATACTGAAAGGTTGATTAAAAAAGGAAATTAACCTTTTGAACAGTTACTTAAAAGAAGAAATCCATTTGTGTTCATGTGGATTAAAAATTATAATAATCATTTTAAAAAAGGAATATTCATAGCTGCTATAGAATACCAAATAATCCCTTCAAACTGAAATACAGCCTAAGAGAAGAACCCATCATTTTTACCATTGCCCATTCTTCCCCTCACCTACAGTGTGGAATTAAACAGATCAGGTAGTAAAGACTGACTGCAGCTCGGTTTCTCTCCTCCAACCGCAATGCATTCTGATTTAAGTAGGTAAATCAGAAAGACATTTAAATTTCTTCCTTTCCCCACAGTTATTGGGATCATTCCTAGATTCTCTAGATGCCTCTTTTTTTCTTTTTAAAAAATTATTTATTTTAATTGGAGGCTAATTACTTTACAATATTGTAGTGGTCTTTGGTGAGGCATTTTTGGGTGAACCTAGATATGTTTCAATCACTTTATTTACCAAAAGTTAGAAAGTAAACACAAAATTTGGGTTCAATATAAGGATTGCTTCATAAGGATAAGGAGAAGCATGAAAGGAATAAAAAATGTGTCAACACTGGAACACATTCAACAAATTTGCATTTAGCATTATTTTGTGAGTTGGATTTTGTTTTTATGGACTAGTCTATAAAACTATAAAACTCTGAGATATGCAAAGTTGCATCACAGTTTCTGCCCTTAAAAATTTAGGATAAAGCAAACAGATGCACACATATTTATAAATCAAAAAGTTGCTTGTATCATGCAAGTGGTGCAATCTAAATTTAATAATAAAATAGAAGGAAACTATCATTTAGGACTGAGATCATTGGAGAAGTTTTTTGCTGAGGAGGTAGTATTTGACTTGGCTCTGAACTATTGGATAAATTGTTACAGCAAATGCAGAGGCAGGGAAACTCTGTGCTTGTTTGGGGAACAGAATGCCTAGTCCAAGTGAATTGAAACAAATGATCATGAGGAATCTTGGGAGGCAAGGCTTAGTTTTAAGGCAAAGGAAAAATGTGCAGGTCAGTGGACTCTAAGATTCCTCTTAAGTTTGTCAGCAATTTTTCTTTTTGGTCAATTTCCCTTTCTTCTGATCTAACCTGTTGCATCTGTGATTTGTATCTTATCCAATTGAAAAAAATAGTCATGCATGCATAAGAAAATTTTCTAAGGTTGAAATATTTCTTTAATTTCTGAACACCACCCTCATGTTCTTCTTTTCAATCATTAACTATGATAGTCTTTTGTGGAAACCAATCTGTCCTAGGCATTTTTCCTTTGCTATATTATTACCTCTGATTGCAGTCCTATTTTCTTATACCTTTGCTTATCAAATGTCTATCAAGTAGTTCAGACCCAAGTAAAATTACCACTTCTTTGACAAAAGCCTTCTCCAATCATTTCAGTCCTAAAAGATTCTACCTTCTTGTTAAACTATAGACTTTAAATTGTATCACTCATATGATTTAAGCAAGCTTTGATATTTTCCACCAACCACTATCATACAACTTCATATTGACTTAAAATTGTACATACTTATTTTTCCTTACATAAATATTTTCTCAGCACTCTGTTTCTCTCTCTCTCTCTCTCTCTCTCTCTCTCTATATATATATATATATATATATATATATATATATATATATATCCTATATAATTCCCTAACTTTAAAACTATTTTTCTAAAATTGAGAAATTATTCCTTAAGTAAAATTTTTTAAAAATGAACGTTGCTTAGTTGTGTCCAACTCTTTGTGACCCCATGAAATTCTCCAGGCCAGAATACTGGAGTGGGTGGCCTTTCCATCCAGGGAGTCTTCCCAACCCAGGGATTGAGCCCAGGTCTCCTGCATTGCAGGTGGATTCTTTACCAGCTGAGTCACAAGGGAAGCCCAACTATACTGGAGTAGATAGCCTATCCCTTCTCCAGAGAATCTTCCCGAACCAGGAATTGAACCAGGGTCTCCTGCATTGCAGGCAGATTCTTTACCAACTGAGCTATCAGGGAAGCCCTAAGTAAAATTTTTATGTTTATATAATTGTCAAAGTAAAAATGTTATTGGCTCATTTTAAAAAATGCATTGGCTTATTTCTCTTTTTAAATTAGTTATTTATAGTGGGCATGTTCTCTGTGCACTTGAGAAGAAAATGATAGATAACTAATAAAAACCTACTATATAGCACAAGGAATTCTACTCAGTGCTCCGTGGTGACATAAATGCAAAGGAAATCCAAAAACAAGGGAATATATGTATACATATAGCTGACTTACTTTGCTGTACAGCAGAAATTAACACAACAGTGTAAAGGAACTACAGTCTAATAAAAATTTTCAGAACAAATTGTTTATTAATGACAAAGAAGGTTGATTGCTGGACAATTCTCCACAGGATTCTCTAATTTCCCCTGGGTATTAAGCATGCCTACTGCCACTATCAAAATTTACATTAGCTGTAGCATGCCCATTTAGTAATCATTTGGAAATGACACAGGAAGATACAAAAAATTATAAAGGAAAAATACCAATATTAAAATGTTTGAGACAGATAATCCAAAAGAAAGTATTAAGTGTTTATGAGAAAAGGGTTGCCAGTTGGTTAAGATAAAAGAGGTCTTCAAATGTTCTGTATATTCATAGTTTAAAATGATATATATGTTGCACTATTGTAAGTATTTCTCCAAATACTTCTTTGCATGAAATGGGATCTCAAAAATACTGTTTGATTAGTAATAACTATCTTCTTTCCATATTAAATTATCTTTAATTTTGGACTCATCCATTGTCATTAAAATACATATTATATTTCTAAAAATTGAAAAAAATAGAATTATTGTTATGTTAGCAAATAATGAGGAGATTATGTAATTAACATTATGTAATTAAAATTTGTGTTTTACATGCATTGTCAGTTGGTGTTTTCAGAGGGCAAAATAAATGGTAAATCTACAGTGAGCCAAAATACATAAATACACTTATTTTTGAGACTTCTATAAAATTGATCTGAGTAATTTGCTAAGATTTCACTTAGAATTTAAGTGACAGAACTTACCTGAGACACAAAAGTTATATTCCTGAAGACATAAGTCTTCCCATAACTTATGTTTATTCACTGTAGGCCAGAGACTAATAATTAATGAGTGATCCCTGATATGAAGGATCTGGAAAGTAGGTTTCCAATGGTAAAAATGATGGAGCTGCTTTCTAAGGAAAATAAAGGAATATAAATCAGTTTTATGTTTTTATTGCAAAATGTCTACCTACTTTCAAAGTGATTATTTGGGGGAATATTATTTTT